GTCGACAGGATTTTTCCAAAACATAAGGGCGGACTTTTTGGAAATTTTGGAAATTTTGGAAATTTTGGAAATTTCTGAAATTTTGGAAATTTTGGAAATTTTGGAAATTTTGGAAATCCGGAAAGTTAGGGGAGAGAATTTTGGAAATTTTGGAATTGAGGCTTTGAAAGCTGAGTGCCCCCTCCCCCCGATCACAGACCATGCACTACGACTGAGTCGAAAGGGCATGGTCTGTCATGGGGGGGGGAGCATATATATATATAGCTCTATTTATTTATTATAATTATATACAATTATATATATATATATATATATATATGAAACCCTAAACCCTAAATCTACTCGGCCAGGTACTGCAGAATTCATCCACGTCGGTGGCTTCGAGGATCCCGGGCAGGTGCTTTTGCCTGGGCGGCTTCCGTTTCAGACTATTTAAGCGACACTATATACATATGTAGGATAAGGTTTTTCAAAAAGATGTACGTACATGTCTATATATATATATATATGCATGTGTGTGTACACATGTAGATATACACACACACATGCACATGCATATGCCTGCGGCCCAGGTTCTGGATCCGGCTCCGATGCTTCTGCACAGATTCCAGTTGTGTGGGTTTTGCGATGTATGTAAATGTACGTAATATATATATATATATATATACACACACACATATATATATATACACATACATCTATATATCTATATATACATAGATATATATACACACACACACACTAGATATAGTCCTCTGCTGCAAAAAATGGATGATACAGCTGTGGACGAAAGCATAATCATCGCGATAATCGTCGGCTCTCGGATGATGTGCTTCCGAAGTCGGTTTTTGCTGTGTGCGTTAGGAGCTTTGTGGCTCCTATGTAATATACGACTCGGGTCGTAGCAGGATAAAGACCGAAACCTCGACTTAGAGCTCTGCGCGCAGGAGCTTTGTGCTCCTTAAGCTAATCTAGGTAGCTAGTGTGGCCCAGGCCGCTGGCGATTTCTCTGGCATCGGCGCAGATCTGCACTGCAAGGACACCATCCGTAATGCATTGGACCATGGAGCTGTGTGATGTGTGAGGTGGGATGGCAACCAAGGAAAACAGTGGCCACAGTGGCCGAAGTCCAACAAGAACAAGCAGAAGAACAAATGGGCAGGGGACAATAAAGGCGGTGGCCAACAGCAGTGGCAGGGATCTTGGGGCGGTGGCCAAGAGTTCGTGCGCTGGTGACGGTGGCAAAGACAATGGCGGCGACGGCCCCTATTTGAGGGCCTGCCTCAGGTGTGGGAAGAAAGGCTACTTGCGTAATGGCCTGTGCCTCAACAGGAATGCGTGGCTTGGACAGCATACAAGGGGAGGTCGGGATCGAGGCTGGGATGCAGTATACGAGGCTAGGAGCTAGTAAGCTCCTGAAACATGTAGGCCCAAACTCCAAAAATCTCCAAAACACCAAACCCTAAACCCTGATACCCTGAACCCTAAATCCCTAAACCCTGGGATCCGAGGTGTAATCTATCCAAATACTTGCATAATCTGAGGAAGGCTAGGATGCACCGATGCAGAGGCGAAATAATATATACAAAGCCTGGCAGTATACAATCCCAGTCAGATAGCATGTGCTTATTTGAATCAATTCTTTCCATGCAATTAGACCCTGAAATATTTTTTAGCGATTTATCTATCTATTTCTTTTTCTTTATTCATCTATCTACTTGAATTATCTCTGTCCCTCGAATCCTAAAGTATATAACGCTGAACCATTAAAACCCAAAATCTCGCGAACTTAGGCTCTGAGCATTTGGGACCAAGAGACCCAGTCCGTGGGGGAGAAGTTGCATTCGTGGGGAAAGAAATCCTCCGTCGAGAACTTGGGCGAGAAGATCGTGCATGCTCGCACCCGAGGCACGAAGGGGGAGAGCCCAGCGGAGCAAAAGCAAATCAAGAAGGAGCAGTACGAAAAGAAAAAAGCTGCCCTCGAGAAGCTGGGAGTCATCGACATCTAAGAGCAGGAAGAGGAGGAGGCGACAAAGCGTCCCATCAATCACTGAGTTGCTGCACTGGCAGTTTGGGCAGTTGATGGGGGAACACCACATCTTGCAGGGCATCATCTACGACAAAGCTTTTCACCCTCTGATGAAGGCTGCCCTTCAGCATGCCTTTGGCAGGCAGGTCTTTGCCGCCAAAGCCAATATGGATTACATGATCTTCTGCAAATTCCTCTGGACCACTATCAGTCACTATCAAACATGACATGGACAGCGTCGAGCAAGGAGGGATGGAACATCAGCAAGACTTTCGGTCCCATCCATCTCTTTCTCGAGAAGTTTGCTGGCAAGCAGCAAAGATCTCGAGTTTACAACAACGAGGGGCACTATTTTGTGTCCAGAAATGGCACGGTGGTGGCCTACACCAAATGCTGGCAGTGGCAGAAAGGATTCCAGGGGGACCCGACCACGAAGGAGGGAACGAACCAGTAGCTTCTGGCCCACCTGCCAGACACCGTTGCTGCGCCGGAAAGTGGTGAGCACAGCTCCTCCTAGCGCCAGGCACAGCCCGCTGTGACGCCCTCGACTAAGGATATCAGGACGTACGTTGAGGAAGGCATCAGAGACAACGCATTTGTCAAGATCATGGAGGTGGTTCAGGGCACCAAATACTACTGCAGCTGATTCCTCGCAGACCCAGCATTTTGCAAGTTGGCGGCCTTGTCTTAGCTGTCGTCATTGCACAACACCAGCTGCCGGCTGAGACTGTTCGTCCAGTCGGTGAGGAAGCCCCGCCGCCCAGGATGCAACCGACGCCAGCCTTGCAGACAGGGTAACCCCCTCTCCTCCGCCACCTCCTCCTCCCAAGCAGGTGGAGACGCCATCCACAACCAGAGCCCAAGCAAGTCCATTTTCCACACCAGGCCAATCTCTGCCAAAGCTGTGGCGCCCGTCACCTGTGCTACCCCACCCAAACTTTCTGGCTCTTGTGCTGCCAAGACTCGAGCCATCCCCATGGCCACGACACCAAGTCTTCCCGCGCAGTTGTCTCCTTCCGCACATGCATGCTCCACGCAGGCATCACCCCCCACCGCCCTCCAGACCTCCCTCCTCCTATGATCCACCACCTCAGCCCCACACAACGAGCAGGAGCTCACCAGTAAGGAAGTGGTTCAAATGCTGGGCAGGCCGGCACTCCAGGAGTGGATCCGAACCCTGGCAGGCTTCAGCATACTAGGCTCCCCCGTGATCGTTGGCGGACTCACCAACAGCAACTATTGTGGGCTACGAGGGTCCATTCACTCAAGCGAGTCCCGCCACTCTTCGCAGCGATGAAGCAAGTGTCTACAAAGTCCGGTCTGACCTGGGAGACACAGAAGGGGATGGGATCCACCTGCGCTGAGTTGGAGACCCCCACCAAAATACATGTGTTAGTGGAGGCACTTTTCAAAAAGATGTGGGGGCACGAGTCCATGGCCAAGCCATTCCCGACGTACGCTAACTTTGACCTGGTGGCGACCACTATCCGCACTATCTACAGCGACGCTGCCAAGTCTGCCGGCCGCGGCAGTCGCATGTCCAAGTTTTCGTCGGAGCCGGGAGCCCCAGCTCCCAAGCGGATGTGCATCGTCCATAAACTCCATGACCAAGCCCGCAGACAAGAGGCCATATCGAAGCCTTCGGACAAAGCGAAACGACCCCTGCAACAAGGGGACAAAGACAAGGAAAGCAAGCGATCCCGGCAGGCTGCTGCCTCGGCTTCCAGTAAGTCACCCCACGATGACTGGCAATGGCCACCTTGGCAGCGGCGACAACATGGATCATGCCGCTGACCAGCGCAGGCACAGCCTCGCTGAAGCTTAGACAGGCACAGCCTAACCTACAGATCGATTTTTTTGATCGTTGACCAATTCGGTCTGCGACCTTTCCAAGACATTTAGCTCCGTGTCGACAAACATGCAAAACACGGCTAGCCAACCTGCCTGCAGTTCTAGCCTTGTGTCTGTTCGAGCGTTGCAGCATCATTAAAGAGCCAGTGTCGAGCAGGACACATTGATCTCTTGCAAGTACATTGCAAGTTCATTCCAACGTCTTCCACCTTTACGGCCCATCACCTGAAGCCAGGAGTTACCTAGTGTGGGACGCCACTAGACGGGAACTCATGGAGACGGCTCCTCGGAGTACGATCAGACTGGCATCAGGTTCATGAGTACTGGACGCAGTGTCCCACATAGAGTGTGTCGGAGGATGAGCTAATTCTGCATTAGAAGCTAGGTCAGCGAGGAACGGATGTGCCTCAGTTACATTTGGTCTCCTCGTGCCGCTAAGCACAGAGCACGCTCGGGCAGTGTACAATTGAAAAAGATGTTGTTGCTTTTATTGTTCCCGTTGCTGTTCGTGTATGCTCGTGCTGTTGTTGTTGTTGCTGCTGCCGCTGTCGTCGTCGTGGTTGTTGTTGCTGTTGCCGTTGCTTCTGCTGCTGCGGTTGCAGTTGCGGTTGCGGTTATTGTTGTTGTTGTTGTCCATGGTAACAGATTCACCACTGACTGCTGGATTTTGCAAGTTCCAGGCTTTGGGCACGCTTAAAACTCTGGTTTTAGCTTGATTCAGGGAAACGCTGCGTCGGGACTTCACCTGTGAGCTGGTGACAGGTTGAAGGTTGCTTCTTGGCCCGAACCGTAATAACGTCCACTCCGACCCCATCCGATTACGCAGAGCATTTATGCCGCATGCCCGAACCATAGTTACGTCAACTCCGACCCCATCCGATTATGCTGAGCATCCATGTAACAGAGCGTCCATGCCCGAACCGTGTGAAGGGCCCTTTGGGCAATACCTATGCTGATGAGTTTGCCTTGATGCGGTTTTCGAACATAGGGGCTTCTGATCCTACTACTTCCGCGTGCTTGGTGTTGCTTGTTCTTGTTGTTGTAAGATCCGTCTTTGACAGGATGGTTTGCATACAGCACGCACAAACATACAGACGTCCCCTTCAGCTTTAAGCATCGCCTCTTGCCACTCTGGCACCTCCGATCGCGCCTGGCCAGCAGTCTGACAGTTTCAGCACGGCAGACGGGAAGCAAGGAGAGGTGGCGGATTCCGATCAACAGGCCCGAGACTGAGAGTGCACCTAATTACTTCTTCATCGGGGTGTTTACGTACAAGCTGAGCTTTCATGACTTCTGCTTCCACTCTCAGTTCGAGGGGATGTGAAGACTCTCGGGATCTCTCGGGCCTGGTGCCGAGTGTTGTTCCTGCAGCTTCAACTTGTAGAACTTACATAATCTGATCCGTCCATACTCTGCAATTCTGTGTTTATTTGGACGGCCCGGGTCTGTGTGGGACGAATCACTATCTGGAGGTTCGGCGAGGTGAGCAGCACAGGCAACTTGAAAAACAATGCTGAAGTCGTCGTCCTCGGCGTCAATCGTCGTGTTCCGACATTGAACGAGTCGACTAATTAATCGGGTAAATATTGGCTAGGAGTCCGGGCCAGAGATTTGGGAGCAACGCTATGGCAACATACCTTGGTCGTCGGCCTCGAC